GTATCCAACCGACAACCAATCGTGCAGGCAGAAGGTTGCATGGATTGGCAACAAGTTTTTTGCTCAATGCAGCTCTTCTACAAATAGTGAAAGTCACACGAAATCTCCGTGAGGTCCGGCAGCTCAATCTGCTTTGAATGTTGGTCTTGGGTCACCTGCACGAATTTCAAGTCATCTGGACACATTCTGGAGAGATTGGTTGCAGACCGCCTGTATGTGACGATTGTTGTATGACTCCCTCTGTATAAATAGCGCTTGCCAAAAAGACCAATGGGTTACAAACAATGCTCTATGCTATAGTAGCTACTATGGAGCACAGCTAGGGTACCAGGGACACTTCCTTACAACAAGACTGATTTCAATACGGTGTTCTGTTAAGACAAGTTCCCTGGCAGGCTCAGAACAAGTGCAGTAATGCCATTCATAATATTAATATCAGCACGAATAGAGGAATCTGAAGAGGTCAAGCAAGGTAGCAAAGATTGAGCACAACATTTCGCTGTCTTCTTATGGGAAATCCTGTGCACGTGGCCAAAACTTCTTATAGTAATCAATATAGGCAACTGCGGTCCCTTTGTTTGTCTTTCTAGCCAGCAAGGGGTGTCTATTGCGGAGAAGCTCCATGGGCTTGCAGTGGGGCTTCCACCTTGCTACTGGCGTTGAGCGTTTCATGCAGGGTCGCTCTGCGCCCGGTGGAGCACTTGACCAGGGGGATACTTGGCGCCTCTACTGCTGACAGCTTGCACATAACGCACAACGTCCCCTGCTTGTATCTCTTCCTTTCCTGTCCCCGCTGGATTTTCCTAGGCCTTGATCAGGAGTTCGTGCGTGAGTGTGTAAGGACAGTGGCTCGTGTTGGTAAGAGGAGCAATCTGCGCCGTTTCGTGGCCTGCAGCCTCACAATCGGTACGATAACATTGCCACCAGGCATGGTGTGAAGTGTATCACATTATGAAGTAATCACTTTAAATAATATCTACATGTACATGCACATGACATGTGTAATAATTATTATTGTGAACGCTGATGTGGCCTGTTGCTGTTGCCCGCATTGTAGCCGACGCGGTAAAAATACCCTATCTATCCTTGATCTCCAGACCTAGACAACATTGAGAACGTACAGGGTACAATGACAGGGTGCATACCCTCAGCACACATCCAGGGTGTAGTTGGAGGGTCCTCGCAACTATCACTCGCACGTTCACTCGGAAGTCACAACCACAATGCTACTGTCCTGAGTAACACCGCCGTGTGTTGTTAGGTGCTCTGTATACATGTACATGTACATGAAAATCTCAGTCGAGGTGCCATATCGTGCCTGATGCAAGAACAATGTAATCATAATGATGATTGGTGTACGGAATAACATTTTTAAAGTGGTTGCTATTCACAGCATTCGGTTTATCAGGAGGGTTTGTATACAACGACAGAGATACTGCAACGAGCTTTGTTAGTTTGTTTTCTAAAGAAAACCGTCGAACCCAGCTATAAGTCACTACCGCGTACATCATCATTCTATGCAAGCCTTGCCCGACAGGTAACATGTTTCACGTGTTCATGCTGTCATCGTGAAAACGCCATCATTCTAGTAGTAACCAAGATGATCTTGGCACGGACTTGGAGTGCACTGCCATGTCCTCTACAGCCACTGTACACTATGCAATGACCATTCTTTATCTCTGAAGCCTATGATCCCCATTACATCTAGATACCTCCACCAAGGCCAATGCCAATGCCAATGGTCAAGCACTACATGTAGTACGAACATTGTTACATGCTCACCCTCGAGTTCAGGAGGAAGTTGTAGCAAACGGTATGTCTTGACACGATCGCAGGAGCTGCTGCTGATATGCTTTCAAAGCAGTCACGACAACGGACATGGGACACTTTGTACGACCAATCGGCACGCCAGTGCAATCCCATACACCATGCCTATCAAGAATCGCAGATTGAGAAGAATTCAGGGATAGTATCTTTCCTGAATTCTGATAACACGCTATTCCGTTTGAGGGGGTTGCAGCCTTGGTGGGCAATATTACCCCCCCCCCCCCTAGAAGGACCACTCCGCCCATTCTACAGAATCCGTGTCACATGTATTCACAGAATATCTAAAAGTAATACGCGGGATCTACACAGAGGCAGCCTAGCACAAGCAGGAGACTGCTGCATTGAAATAATCGAAAAAACGAAGCTTCGTGGTGGCCCTTACGGCAAGGGTGCTGCGCATCTGGATTTGGTTTGGTCTTACGGGGCGGGCACAACGATCAGGTCAGCGACCGCGAAGTGCCACGATAAAGGCAACACCGTTCATGCACGGATCGAGGCGAAGTGCAATGCTGCAGATTTGTGATTGCTTGAGCTGGAAATCCCGACGGACACACAGGCGTTAGACCGCGGTCACACCGAAACAACGGACTAAAAAGAGCTCATCTGGTCACAACTGTTACGAGAAAGCATGGTCACCTCGTGCACGCACGCACGCATGACTACCAAACACGGTGATCTTGGTACTAAACGCTTGCAGAAGTCTAACGATAAAAGCCATGTACACTGACTGTACATGTGGATGGCCCAAAGATGTGCGGATGCGGATTCTGACGACGCTGCGAGCAAACACCACAATCATGAACAGAAAACCGCACATTCAACCGCCTCTTGGAGTCTCCGATATCCCGGTGTCGCGTGGAATCGTCAGGCCGTGAATCCGTCCATGACTCACGGATTCATAGGGCTTTCGTTCGTGATTGGCACAAAGGAAACCGACCCCGGAAACTCATCTGTCCCTTATACTCTAGTCTCTAGACTCTAGCCTCCCCCTGCTTCTTGGTCATGTATTCGCAGGACACTGCAGTGTATCGATGGTTTGCCGCTTGTGACTGGTGTATGAACCATCCAGTAGCCTATGGGCTACGATCAAGAGTCAAAATAAGCTAATCTTGATACGATACGCATGTAGCATGAATCTAGTCTACTAAAAAGCGTGTATTCCATTTTACGAGAAGCGCATTATAATTTTATGTACATGATCGTACATCGCTTTCTTCCGAGTCGTCTTCTGTTCCATTCGCGGAAATCAGTGTAAAATGGTTGGTTGATTGACTTGCCGTGTCAGCGCTTGCTTCATTCATCAGAAGCATTTTACGTACACGTAGGCTGTACATGTACGATGAAGGACTATATCACCAACCGTGAGCACTTCTGCAGAGTGGTTTAGAGCATTCTTTAGTCTGTGGCGGATCGATACAATCCAAACCACCGGACGACACAGCACATGTAACGTTGTTGTCCTTGTTCGATTCCTCACTTCTGAAGTTTCGAACGACATCGGTGGGCACGAGTCCAAGAGCAAGTGACACTGCAGGCAGTTATGCACAGTGGGTTCAATATGGATCAGCTACAAGCGACGGATAATTCTATTTGCGTGAAGTGTTTGTGGACTTCGAAGTGTGTGCCACACGCACATGTACATGTGGTAACCGGCCATTGTTCCTTGGTCAAGACTTTTTGGTCCGTCGTTATTCCGTCCAGTCCACCTAGTACCTGGGCGGTCTGGGCAGACGGTAGTGTAATGCTCTTGACCGACAAGTGTGACCGTATTCAAGACGTGTGTCGCGGCTGCCAGTCTATGATTATGGTGAAGATTGAAGGGGGCTTGTAGGCGCTAGGCGTGATGGTGTGAGGGAACGTATCATGTACCGATGTAGAGAACTACAGACTGGTCACACATCACTCGATCAGTTCGTTCTGCATCCAATCTGCAGTTCAACGAAACTGGATTTCGTGTTACATGAACACCATGCGTGCGTCACCCTACTACATACAGTGAGGCCTGACCGTTCAAGGAGGAATTTTGCCTTTAACCAGCGGAAGGAGCTCAACATGTGGAGCTCTATTGCACACAAAGGCCTTTTAAAGGCACAAAGGACGTTTAGTTGCAAGTCGCCTGCTGATCGCAGCACTGTGCAAGAAACTCGGAGCTGCGACGTAAACCTCCGTTGTGCCTTGTGTGTATCCTGCCCCTTCTGTAGTTGAGAGTAAATGATTGCCGCCGACCGAGGAAGATCAGTCTGAAAGCCGGTTCTGTAAGGTTCAAGAGTGACTCGTCGATTTGGCTGCTCGGTGCTTTTCTTTGAGGAGAGTTTGAAGGTCTGGAAGTGGAATGCACAGCTAGACAGCGCCATCACTATACACAGAACAGGAGTATGTGACTGTACGTTGTACCTAATATCATGGCATGAAAATGACTTTGTGTGTTGTATTACAGAACGCACGGATCGTGTTGGTATGTGACTGGTCACCCATGTAGAATGCGTTTTATCCAGCCTCGATTCATTATTCATCACGCAATGATGTATGGACTTGTACTTGTCGTTGTAGCAGCCCAGCTGACACTAGAAATCATGTTTGCTGTTACGGGCACCATCTGCATATTGTACACGTACACGCTCATAACATACATCCAGTAACAGCAGTACACCATGGTACACAGCGTAAGGTGTCCCTGTGACCTGGTGTCCCACTGGTGACCGTGTCAGTCTTCTCGTCCCCGCGATGCAGTACTAGTATAGTAGTCACTACTAGTACGATCGAGTGGAGTGTGCTTTTACTTCGTCGTTACGACGTTTCTACGTGCTAGTTCCGACCTCGAGATCGATCGAGATGCATCGATGTATCGATGGAGCCATTACCATTGCGGCATTGGAGGAGTGGACCACAGATCTGCCGGAGGCACGTGCCATGTGACATCGGAGATTCGCCGATCGCTTGTATTTCGCGATCCAGTCATCAGGGCCAGGGGCCAGGGTGCTCGTTCGATCCGTCATGCAGTACTCGAAGTCGAACCTCTTCCGTACCTTCATCTCGACTCCATGGATCCAGCAGCTGAACAGGAGATCTAGCGCTACTGCCACTACTGCCTACTGGCATCGAGTAACGACTTTACGCCACGACCGGCCGTTGATCGTACAGTTCTGTCAGCATGGCAAGCGTTCAACTCCCGCGCCAAGACATGGTAGGACTGGAGGCTGCTGCAGCCCTGACCCTCGCTTGCTGCAAACTGGTGTCTTGAGCGAGATAAACACGGCATACCCGACCGGTGAATATAAAGCCTTGCGCACTTGTGGGCAGTTGTGCCTCTCATCTGGAGCTGTGATTTCTTATGCACTGTCACTGGTGCCAGCTAGCTGTGGGCTCGAAAAGGTTCTTTTTCTCAGTCTGGAACGTGCGCCTGCTGGCCGAAGGTAAAGGATTACGCAGCGAAAACTTGACTTGCTGTTGACTTTTGGCGTGTGCTCGACAGTTTCGACTGTGAAGAGTTGATCCATTCTGATGTCGGTGTTGAGTGTACTGGCTAAGGTAGTGACCTGAACTCTCGAGCATTGTGGTCACACTCGTCAAGACTTGGCCCCGAGTAGCCAGATCTCGCACCGGAGTCGCATATTAGTGCTCGCGCTCCCGTCCTGCCCCACTGTAGAGAGCTTCGAATCTGCCAACATACGACCAGACGCACCCTGCTGTGCTCGACTGCCTGTCAAACCTCAGCCAGGCAGAAGAATTTCTCTGAGCTCGGCCACAACAGGCATATATGCTCACTCACAAAAGCCAGCAGCACGAATCATTCGGTCACTCACTCACTTGCTGCGTTGATCCCTCTCTTTGCCTTTGGCTGTTCGCTCCGCGCCGGGAAGCCTGAAGGTACGCATTTCCGACTATAAAACTCGCGCCGAACCCGGGTAATTGGTGTCGAATTCGAGCTTCAAAGCCTGACCCGGTTGGGCTATTTTTCATCTCTGCGTGCGTGTGTTCTCATTTACAGTTGAACTACACCGTTGAAGCGGTCAGAAACTAAGACTCTTGAGCGGAATAATATTGGAACACGAAATGGACGGATTCAAGCTGTTGGCCGTTCTGCTGGCCATTCAGGTAAGCGAACCCCAATGACGGTAATGTTGAGTTTTGGTTTATTCGTGAGAATGCAATTACTACTACGGTGTAGTACTAGTACTGTAATACATGGAATGCATGTGGCAGAAGAACACCTCGGTATCCTGCATGGTCTGATATCTGCTCTGTGGCGTGATATGAATGTTGTCTTTGCCATCGCCTGGCCTAGCAAAACAAGGCACGTAACAGTACGTTGGCCATTTTCTTGTAACTGCTGCAATTAGTTCGTGTCACCCGGGCGAGCCATTGGGGTGGACTCGTTAGCAGTTTTCTGGCATGTTTTCTGGATAATGATAATGAGGCAGGTTTTCGGCGGTGTCCTCGGGCAAAGACACGTTCCTTACAATACTAGTAATTATATGTCTCGTGCTGTGTTGCCCGCCTCCTTGTAATGACTTTGGGTGTGGGAAATCGCTGCCAGCTACTAAGCATCCCGTTCGCTTTCCTATCGACCAGAACTCACTTTTTCCTTCTTGATCTTCATGCGTCACGTAGAAGATGGTGACGGCGCGACATAGCCATTCGTTCCCGTTTCCGAATACCTCCGTGGTTGGACACACTATAGCCACTACTAGATTGGGATATTGGGTGTGTCTGTGATCTGGGCTATGCCCTGCACTCGCATAGTTTCAGCTGTGAGGGTGTGTATCTGATCAGTGGTCGTTGAGAACTCCGAACGCTTGTTACACATGTATTACCAGTGCTTTGCAGTAACATGAGTTGGTCGTTTGTCCGATTCCTTTGCTACTAAGTCTGCTTGCTCCGTCAGCCGCGTTTGAAGATCCGATGAGTACAATGTATTTGCTGTCCAGATGGTGCGCACGTCGAGCGAGTCATTGCATTTCTGTGGTAGGTTGATCAGTTGTCGCGAACAGATCACTGTGACATGAGTAGCAGGGTCGGTGGCATGCTACCTGCACAGGAATGCCTTTCACAGGCCTGCCCCTGCATTTAGCCTTTCAAGCATTTTGACGTGACCTGACCTGATGACCCGCACGAGTGATGAATCCGTTCCTTGTTGTGCTTGCTTTTGCCAATCATCAAAGAAGTGTTTTGCTGATTAGGCGTATACGTGTAACACGGTGTATTCTTGGCGCTTCAACAGGTTTGGGTTTCCTCTTTCCGGAATGCAGCACTGCAGTGTTTGTTGGTCGAGGAGAAACAATGACATGAAGAGTACACGGTGACCACAGTAGATGAAGCTGATTACACGTACACACCCAGTGCCTTTTCAGTGTTTACTTGCTTACGCTGCGCCTGCTACTAGTACTACTACTAGTAGTAATAAAACTATAAAGAGTCATGTAGTTACAGTGCAAGAATGCTTTGACAGGAAAGATAATCTGACTCTAGTACTAGTACTTGCACAGCACTCCACACAGATCGAAGGGCTGGAAACACAATCTCGGGTCGGTCCCATTCTGTTGTGGGACCCAACAGTTCAAAAACAGGAGATGTTGTGTTGCTTCACTTCTCCACAATTGGACACGCACCCACGATCACTCTATCTCTCTGCTCAGTTTGATAGTAGTGGTTCCGATCGGCCCATTTTCAGCGCTCGCTTGTTGGTAGCCGTTGTTGACCTTCTCTATAAAGCGGCGACAGCTCATTCAAGCGAACAACACTTTATTGAACGAGATCCTGGCGGTGTATCGCTCCTTGTCTCACCTATTTACAGTTTATTTTCGTTTGCGTGTCCCGTCCATTTAGTTTTGTAAAATCTGATCGTCTCTGCCCATCTACCCACTTCTGCACAACGCTCCCGAAGGTAGAGTCTACGCCTTGTGTGAAGTTGTGGGGTTGACCTGGCACGGGACACAGGGGCGATAGCTCGCGGTCGCAGATGGGTGTTGATTTCAGTCAGTTTATCACGTCTGTGATGATCAGTTTCAGCGCTTGTGCAGCCCGCAGGTGATGTCGCAGATCCAAAACTTACCACCTGACCGAAAGTGTGTATAAAAATAATTATTTGAACAAACATGTGCCTTGGTGAGGCCTAGGCTAGGGTTTTGTGCTTGCATTTTTTTTCTGTTTTTAGCAGACCCTGTTGCTCTGGGCTGCACGACGTGTTACTACCGGTACCCTGCGCGCTCGTGAACATACAGCAGTCGAGTCGACGTCGACACGAACTGAACCTCGCACCTTTTAATTTTTGCGCCAGAATAGCGTTCTCCTTCGCGATCGTTGCTTTCAGCACTCGGTCAGTTTGGTTTGATGCGCGCGCTGTGCGGATATAAACAGCTCCTGCCGGCTCTTCCTCTCGTTGAATGATTATTTCAGTTTCCAGCGGCCGTTGTAAGGCCCATACTAATGTATTGCATTTAGGTTGAGTAGTAAGTGGCCGCCGCGTCTGATCCAGTTATTGCAAGAGCGCTTCACTCTGGAACGCAGAGTCTACAACGTTGAATTTGTAGTGGTTGTCGAGCGGAATATCCTGTCGGCGCTGTGCGCTGCTCAAATTTTTCTATGGCAGTTACCGAATGTAGCCTGTAGCCGAGTGTAGGTACAGTGTAGATCGGTGGTATGATTAGTGCTAACAGAGGGCCAGGGGCAACTGGAAAACTAGGCAGACTCCCAAAATGGCATGCATGCCTGTGCCGGCCAACCCCGACTCGCGAGCTTCGTACTGGATCATGGACGGGGTCGAGTAGAAGCTGTCAGGCCTGGACGAAACCTTGTCCGTGACAGCGCTAGCAGCACGGTGCGGGTGAAGCACGAAGAAAGGAGTCAGCGAACGGCCAGCGCCGCTTTATCTCTTTTTCAGGCTGAGTACCAATTTCCTCTGTAGAAAGTCTGCTGCTGCAGAACTACAACTAAGTACTACACACTGTACACAGTGCACTATTGTGCCATTCTTGCATTCTGCTGTGTTTGGGGCATAGCGAACAATTATCGTCTTGCTCTGGCATCTTGCACGTGCCGTAGGGATGCGGTACTAGTATTCATAGTATTTGTGTCGCTGGAGGATAGGATATGGTTGGTTGGTTGGTTTATTTTGATAGATACGTTTGTAAAACATGTGCACCCATTCTGTTGTACCAATATAATGTACTCGTGACTATCATGGAGTCCCTACATGACGCGGTGCTAAACGAGGTCCTACATAGGCTATTAATAAAGGCTAGTAAGGGCAAGGCATTTTCGTGTCTGCTTCTCAGTAGATCTACATGGTGGGCCTAGATCCTCGCAAGGCCTTTGTAAAGTCGCCACTGATGCAACCAAACTAACTTGTTGATAATTTTAGCAAGATAATAATGGCGGACGGCACACGTACACTCACGACTCATGCCTGTTGATTGTTCGCTTGTTCAAACTGACTGACAGGTCGTTCTCAAGTGCACGGGGTTTGTGTGCGAGTGAAAGATGCCACAACGGCGAAGAGGGGAAATCGCCGACCAGACAGGAACGGCTCAGCCCTGTCGTTTGGTGCAAACGTTCTTGGCAGTGTGACAGGTCGTAGTGAAGGCTGCTGCTAGGCTCTTTGTGTTTACCCCAGGCCAGGCGGTGATCATGTCGGTGTTGTGTACCCGTGTACCGAGGCGGGAGCACGTTTTCTACAATGACTAACAGTAACTGTGACTTTGCTTGACTGTTCACGCTGCGCTGTGGCATTGTGTCGGTGTTGTGTACCCGTGTACTGAGGCGGGAGCACGTTTTCGTCAATGACTAACAGTGACTTTGCTTGACTGTTCACGCTGCGCCGTGGCATTGTGTTGGTGGATACTAGTACTACTGCTGGATGTGTTCAAGTGTTGCTATGAAGTAACGCTAACAGTTACATCATTGTACAATGTAGTACTAGTGGTATGTCATGTCCGTCACCATGAGCATGATGGCCAGAACTGAAGTAGGCCACTGTTGTAGTACTGGTGCAACTGCCTGATTCAGTGATTGTTACCTGATTGTTCCTCTGTGTCAACTGGGTGTCGTCCCTGTGTGACATGCACACTTCCAGTGGTACAAACTGTTGGATTGGAGAGGAGACATGGCCAGAGCTGGCTGTCAACAGTTTGTGAGAGGTGATCTATGGAGGTCAGTGGATCCGTCATGTTCTGGATCAAGAACACTTTAGAATATACGCCACCTCAAACGGAGATTGTTCAAGCGCATTGTTTTCCAAGCTGCACCTGTACCCCTCTTGGTGTCGCCCTTTGAATTGGACTTCTTTCATGCCTAATTCTGGTGGTGACTATGAAGCCTTTGCCTTTGTGTACCTGATGAACGGTTTGTGTAGCAATAGAAGATCAAAAACACCGGTCTGCCCTGTGTGAGGAGATGCATCCATGCCTCTCCATCACTTACTGTACTGACAGAAACCAGTTACTACTTGTGCCTAGTACCTGAATGAATTAGTTCACATGGGCAGTACTGGGTATGGCCGTGGGCTTGTACTAATTCGACTTGGCACTAATCGAAATCACTTGTGCAAAGCCTCCAAGTGGAACACCACTAGACCCACCAAGAGAAACTACTTTTTCTTCCCCGGCCTGCACATGCATTCGACCCAACAATGGCAACACATGAACGGCCCATGCTACTTGGGTATACATGTATCTTCAACACTACAGGTGTCAGTGGAGTCACACTCACAGGGACGATGAGCAGTTGAACACTGTGCTGTGTGTCTTATGGGAGATCATGTCTTGGGCATAATGGCAGCTAGCCGTACATACCAGTCACGTGTATGTGTGCAGCCTGTTCTGTATTCATGTAGTTCTAAGTGTTGAAATCACCGGTGCGCGTATTGTGACTGAAGACATTGTGGTCTAGATACTCTATACATCCGTGTAGAATATCCCTCAATCTGTTCTTAGAACTTCATCATGTTCACGCAGTCACTGAGCCAGTGACTCTGCTTGGAGTGCGCCCTGGCTACCGGCCAACAGCAAATCCACACAACCACACACAGATTGGCTAGCCCAGTGCTGTTCATGTTCTCAGCCATTCCACTCATCGGCATGCGGCGCGATGCAGAAACG